TCTCAACTTCTTCTTTTTCAATTTAATCTAGTTTTCCTTTTTTATTTCTGTTGGATCAAAATGTCTGAAATCACAGTAAAGAAATAGCTGCGTGTGCTACTTATATAACAGAGAAGGACTTTCATCTTTCTTTCATCATGTAGATAGAAGGAATTTTCTGCAGAAATTTATAGTATTTATTTAATTTTAGACTTCTGACAGACAACCAGAAGCAGCAGCCCATACAAGTTTATGTTTTCCTTCTTTTGCTTTTCACAAATTATTTCCCTCACTCAGGTACCATTTTCCAAGAAATACTAAAGAGTTACATTACTGTGCTCCGGGGAGTCTCTTTGATGTTCTACTTCTCGACCCGTGTAAAGCCCACTCTGAAGGAATCAGATTCTGGTTCAGCATTTGCTCTCCAGGCTGCAGCTCTCTCATGTTCCCTGTAGGGTCACTGTGAATTCTGCTGTTTTCCTGTTGCTTAAGTATGGATTCTCAGCAAGGCTCCTCCTTCTTGAACAGGTGACTCCAGGTAAGAAGATGAAACCTACCATAAAGTCTCACTACTTGTTTTGACTTTAAATCAATCTGCAAATAGGTCTTGGTCCTAGAGAAACTTTACCCAGAGTAATCAGATTAATTCTGAGTCATGTCTAGGTAGACTTCTATCTCCACCCTTTCAGTTACTGAACACTTTATGCATTTACACCACAAGGGGACTCCAATTTAGAATAATAATTGAATTACATTTCCCAATGCTGCCTGGAAATCCAGATCATCAGGAAAGATTTTCTGAACCTCCAGGACTACATACAGTTGACTTCAGTAAATTGTTGTAGAAAAGCAATATGAAGGAAAATTATAGGACAGGGAAATGAGGGGAAAAAAAAAAAAAAAAAATATATATATATATATCTACCAGGTAATATATATTACAAATAACAAAATTTGCTCTTAAATAAGGTCCAATTCCAACAGTAGAATTTTAATGTATGCTGACTGTATAAGATAACCACACCATTATCATTCACCAATTGATTTTGGAAATAAAAAACAAGAACCAAGCTGTTGCCACTGAGTTGATTCTGACTCACAGCAGCCCTATGGGACAGAGTAGAACTGCT